GAACCCCTACAGAAGCGGGCCGAGTTGTCACAGGCACTGGGAATCTAGGTCTCAGACCATTAAGCATGGTTTCTGCTGAGCCAGTCTGACCTTGAAGGCCGGGGGGAAACCAGGCTGGCATTTGGAAAAGCAGGGGGTCTGTGATTCTTGGCCCCTCAGTTCTGGTTCTCGTGGTAAAAGCCATGGGGTGTGTGGAGCCTCTATAGGGGGGTTTGGAGTGAGGCCTGAGTTCAGGCACAGCTCCTCTCTGGATGGGGCTGCAGCAGGGGGTCTCACATGGAGGGGGTGGGGGCAAAGGTCCTGTGGAAGCCTGTGATCTTGCCATCATTAATCACAGCTTGTGGGGGTCCACTGAGAATTTATGATTATGAGTAGGAGATTATGGCCCTGACCCCAAAGAAACACACACACACACACACACACACCCAGAAAACAGTTACCCATGTCCTCTTAAAGCTTCTGAAAGGTGTTATCACCCTGGGTCCAGAAGAACCATCCCTAGAAGAACATCCAGCTGAAGATGGTGGTCCCATGAGGGTCTTCTAAGTACAGCATGGTTTGTCCCTGTTCCGACACGCTCAAGCCATTGGGCAGGGCTTATTCGGGGGTACAGGGGGGTAGGTCACATAACTATAATGTACCAGGAGGTCAAAGGTCACGCTAAGGCGTTAAGGAAGTACTAGTGGCTAGCATTCACACTAAGCAATTACAAGATATCTCCCACGAGGACGAAAAAAAAAATTGCGGCTTCGGGAAAAGCAAGATAATTACTCACCATTTCCCCCCCCCCCCCAAAATAAATTCATAAAAAGATAGAGTGATTAAGAAAGCTGTAATGATTGCCGGAGGCCAAGTTAAAAAACACAAGAATATAAATATTTTAATAAGAAAGAGATTATAATACCAAACATTCAGCTGGCATATTCGGAATTAATTTTTCATCGCGGCCTAATTGGAAAGCAAAGGCTCGAATCCGCACAGCGTAGGTCATCGTGTTAGAAGCTTTCACAGCTAATTTTCCGAAGCATCTAAGCAGCGGAAGTTACTTTGAAGTAGGTCCAGGATCTGGAATTTACCAGCAATAAAATATAAAAGAGATTTAAAGTGTCATAGTCAATAGTGTAAGAGAGTTTCACATTTAGGGGGCACAATTTAATAATAAGTGCAAAGGTCTGTTTTTTTGGAGGGATGAATGAAGCCAAATGAAATATTGGGTGGCACACGTCCCCTTGCCCCTCCCCAGTTCCTACGCCCCCGGTCACGGATCGTTGATGATCATGTGACCTTGACTTAGCTTTGTTTCCTAGAGATGACTCAAGGTCCAAATAAGGTCCGAGCAAGAAGGAACCTGTCACAGTGAAAGTGGGATCAACAACAGCCATCCTGGGGTCAGATTCTGGTTTGACAGCAAGCGTCTTCTGAGAGCGGACTGGCGCAGATGGGACCGGCTGAGTCCGGCTTCTCGCTGAGCCGTGAGAGCGATTACGGTGGTGCCACGCTCTGCCTTTGATGGAAAGCCACGGTGCGTAATGCATCTAAGCTGCCGCTGGTCCATTGACACTGACTCAGGTAGGGTATCAAAGCTCAAGTGCAGATAGCAGGCAGCCGGTAATACCCCCCCCCCCCATCCCCAGTGGACAGGCAGGGCATATACACAAACAGGGGTGATGCAACAAAATCACCGTGTGCCCAGGGTCAGGAGCAGTGGTCAACTCTATGGTGAACTCTGATGGAGTGCAATTTCTACCACCGACATGGTATTTAAAAACCTACATCGTTTTTTTTTCTTCAATCAAAACATTTCGCCATGGACACAGAAGTCTTGCCAACAACACGTTTGCCCGCGTACAGACAGATTGACGATCCCTGGTGAAGAGTGATAAATCGTGAGTGATGTGAAATGCGAGGTCACGTTTGCTGTTAAATCAACAGTTGGATGTTTGTCTTGCACACCCTCACCCTCGCCCCCTAGAGGAGAGAAGCCGTTACTGCATAGGGTTTGATGATTCAGTGGCACCCCCAAATTATTTAAAACAGGATAGAACGTCGAAAAAATGTGAAGAAGCCTCACTCTCACCCTTCTGAGGTGGAAAAACCCTTAAATCATTTGTATTTGGCTCGCGTTCCATCCCCTGCAGCGGCAGCCTGTGATTTCACCGTTTTGCCACTTATTTGTGCATTTCCAGTTATTAATTCGCCATTTAAATAATTCCCGTTGATGCGTTGTGACTGCATAAATAACGTATTAGCTTAGCGGTGCTCCGCTGCCAGGCCTACTTAGCCCTCTCATTTTTCAGGGCCGTATCGGGGATAAATCGCACAGACAGTCTCGCGCCGGTCTAGCGGCTTCGAAAAACCCAAAGCCCTCAAAGTTCCGGCTCGCCAGATAATGGCTGGCTGGAGTACTGGCTGGATTCTCATATCAGGGTACAGCATACAGCACAAACAAATCATCAGCTACAGACGAATCATCAGCTACAGACGAATCATCAGCTACAGACGAATCTGTGTATGATCATGTAAACTCACTTGTGTCACAAGGAGTCCTTTCAATATGTATACAGGAGGAAGGGATGGGGACGACAGAATGGCTTCTTTCCCCCGACCCCAAATAAGGACCCATGTATCATATGCAATCATTTACTCTAAGGGTTCCATACTCTTACTGACTACATAAGCTGACTTGCTTATGCTGAAGTAAGCCGGGATAAATATCATGAATGCCGAAACGGATCAGTAACCTGACAACAGTTACCAGGCTGCAGAGCCAGCAGATCAGGAACCCTTTCTGCTGAGGGTTCGAGAGTAGCGAGCACTGAATATCTCAGTGCCAATCACCGTCGTATCCGACACATCTCCTTTTAAAGCGGCATCCGTTGCTGGTAGACACACGTCCGCCATCTTGCAGGCGATCTTCTGGATAATGTGACCATCTCTGCCGGAGGAGCAGAATAAAAACGGGGAGGCAGCGGCTAGGCTGCGCGGTAATTGAATAATGGGCGGCCTGAGCCAGCGTGGCCGCGGGAAGATGAGTGCGAGCGAGCGGGCAAGCGAGCCAGAGCCCAGAGAGCGAGAGGGTAATAGTCTTTGCTCCAATCATGTCTGATAATGCTCTACTTTCAGGCCCGTGGGGCCTTTTTTTAAACAAAGGTGGAATTACTCCGCGGTTTATCGAGAGCTGAGTCCATTCAGTCCGCGTCGACGGTCACCCTCGAAGCCAGGAGCTCCAGAAAGCACTTCTTAGCGCGCCATTAGCCGAACGCCGCAACCGATCCAGATTTCAGACTCGGTCCTAAGTACTAAGTAAAGTAGCCACTCTCGTATGCAAAAGAGACTCTTTATGCGTATCGTATATAGCGCCTCGCAGGTCCGGTAAACACCTGGCATATTTTCTTCTCTGCGGAGAGTTCACTAATTCCCGGGACATTCAAACACATTACCTGCCAGCTATTTATGAAAAAAAAAGGATCTGCTAACGTTGTGCAGCTGTCATATGAAAAGAAAATCAATATTCTATAAAGAAAAACACCTACCTAGCATATCTACCGAATAACACAGCGCAGTTTTTTTTTTTACCAAGGAAATGACTGCTACATTTGTACATTTGTATTTTTACGTGTAAACAGAGTGTGATTTTACTTTAATTAGGAGGCTGTCAATCAGACTCTGGTACCAGTAATAATGCAATTAGGCTTAGAGCGCCATCCTGAGTTGGGGGCAGTATTGACTGGGGGGATGTGGGTAAAAAGGGGGGGGGGGTTCCTTAATTGTTTTCTCAGGCCTGTTTCAGGGGCAGTTAAAACAGACATTATCTTTACAGAGTCGGACTCACACTGTTTTACGATCTCGGGAAACAGACTGGCCAGCTCTTTCTCACCGGCAGCTGGAATGGAAAGGGGGCGTATGTTTGCTTCACATGCCCCCCTGGTCATGCACGCCAGAGGGGAGAGGCCTCCCCTGTTGATTTGATAATTGCATTTGTCAAGGGGCGAGCCAGAAAAGGACATCGATCCCTTTTGACCTCCGGCTCGTCTCCTGGATACCATCAAGGTGATGACGGCTGTAGCATCACAATGTGTGGGACACTGTCGCCACGGTTTCAACTAATCGGTCCGCAATTTTTCCCAACTCCTGCAACCTCTTTAATAGCACAAAAGATTTTTGACCACTTTAATATTATGCATCACAAATGATACTTTCTAGCTACTTATGAGTTACTTACACTGTATTTTACATTTTGCAGATGCTTTTATCCACAGTGATGTACATTTATTAAGAAGACAGGGCCAGACAGTTCCTGGAGCAACTGGGGGTTAAGGTCCTTGCTAAACGGCCCAGCAGTGACATTACTCTGCCGACCCTGGGATTTGAACCAATGCCCTTCCGGTCACATGCACAGTCCTAACTAGCTGAGCCACACACCACGCCAATTTCAGCATTTTCCAAGTATCATTATAGCCACAGCTTTCCTGTTTTGATTTAATTGAATCCCCAAAAGCTGATTAATTTTTTATTTTTTTTTTTAAATTAAATGTTCATGATACTTGCTGCTTGGAGGGTCAGCATTGCCCTGCATGCCGAAGACGACTTCAGATCGTTTTTTCCCCCCTCATTGAGAAATATCAGAATGTTATGGGACCCTTAATTATGCAGCACTACACCTAAAGTCCTCAGGGAAGGTAAGTAACCCATATGTCCATCGTAGGGTTTGTGGCAGGACCCGGAAGAAGCGGAGCCCTGTGTGGGAGACTGGACACCTCTGCTCCATGACACACGGGCCCCCAGCCCCCCCCCCCCCACACTTTGAAAAAGGCCCCCCACCCTCAAGCAACAGTGACATGGTTCTTGGATCCCGTGGGCCAATTCAGCCAACTTCAGCTGTGGGGGGAGTGAGCCAGAATATTCATGAGCATGAGAAGAGCCACGGAGAGCGGGCAAAGGCGTGAGCGAGAGAGCAAGAGAGAGGGAGAGAGAGAGGGAGAGAGAGGGAAGACGGGGAGAGAGAAGAGCAGAGGCACACACGAGACTAACTCCTGAAGAACACAGGACATGAGAGGAGGAGAGAGCTAAAAGGAGGGGGGTGAGAGAGAGAGAGAGCTAGAGAGAGAGACAGAGGGAGGGAAAGAGAGGACATTTAAAGCTGCTTCATCCACCTGAAGATCAGTTTGTTTCTCTGAGGGGCATCGAGGGGAGGAAAAGCCAGCCGATACGGCGAGGAGGTCCGAGCTCTGCCTCATCCAGATCCGCCCAGTCCCCCAGCGCAAAGTGCCCAAGAAGATCTGCATACCGACACAAACCAGGGGGCAACCCCCTGGGGCAAAGAGCCAGAGCAGGGGGGACAAAGGAGGAGGTGCGCGGAAAGACGGAGAGAGACAGAGGAGAGGAACTCGCCAACCATCCTGAACTCCAACTGCAGAGCAGGCAGGAGATCTTCCGGAAAGGTAATAACAGCTTTTTAAAAATTATTCTAATGTGTCGCTTTACGGGGACATATAGAAGAAGGTCATTTATCCCTCATAGTTTTGAGGATTTTTCTTTTTAAGCAGTAAGACCTTTTTTTCCGGAACATCATTGTGGTGACGAGCAACAGTGTCGGCGAGAGGCGTAAGTGCAGAAGTGGGTGTGTGGGAGTGGATCTGAGGAGCATGTTCCGCCGGGGAACGTGGTGAATTAGCCGTAGTTCGGGAATAAAAAAAAACACAGGACTCTTCAACCCTGTCATTTTTTCATTATTGGCACCATTTAGCAGCTCTTTCGGTAAACTGAGAAAACGAGCGAGAATTGAGGAAAAGTTTGTTTGCGTAGTTGGCGCCTTTGTTGTTTATTTGGGGGCCGTTTATTCCTTCTCGTTTTTTTTTGTTGCAGTCTCTTTTTTTTGTTGGTTTTTGGCTGTGGTCTGCGAGCGATTGCGGAGCGTTAAATGGAGGAGCCCGTGTGTGTGTGTGTGTGTGCGTGTGCGTGTGCGCGCGTATGTGTGCAGCCGTGTGTGTTAATGAGATGCCATTTACTTGGAGGAGCTGCAGACACTCAGCCAGCAGTGCTGGCAAACTGAACTGTAACCAAGGCAGCTGACATGAAGGGATACTGGGATTGCTATTTTTCACCCACTGAAACACACACACACACACACTCACGCTCCGCTGAGCCTCCTTCTCTAGTAGCATATAAAGATTTCATTGTGGCACCACGGGGCCCTGACTGCTTAACTATCCATAGGAGCTCGGAGCACCCTCTACTATTGGATGGAGTGAGCAGAGGGGGGGCAACATCAACACTGACGTGTCGGGTCGATGACGCCTCACTGACGAGTTTACAACGGCCAAAAGGCAAAGCCGTAACAGCGAGAAAGTGTCAGGCTACAAGAGCCAGCAGAGAATAACGGTTTGATAAACGGACGCCCGGATTGGCCAGGGTTCACCTGTGATGGAGCCATCAGGAATGGACCGTGGGGTTATCGATTGGGAGGGGTGCCTTCATACCCTTGAGCGAGGCGCTTAGGCCTGAATTGCTTCATTTAGAGAGAAATTTTCACTGGAAATGATATTAGGTTTGTAATTTTTTTTTAATTGCGCACTTAAACTTGGGGAATGAAGTGGTGTGTCGCGCTCTGACATCATCAGGGGATGCGGCTGTTCTTCAGGGACCTTTATGCCACCTGTGGGTCACACTTTCCTGACCGAACACCCACACAGAGTGTCGCAGATAATCAGCTGGCATTGCATGACTTCTGTTTTTAAAAAGTGTTCCAATACTTTGATATGTACAGTAAAAGCGTGGGTGACCCTGCACCCTTTTCAGTTTCATATCAATAATTTCCCATAATCCCCCAGAGCTACGAATAAGTAAATTGTTCCAGGCAACAGAAACATTTTTCTGAGAATTTCATAAAGCAGCCAACTATTGGCCATGATTCATAACCCTGGAATATAAACATAAAATGTTCATTTCATCATATAGGGGTACAGAGAATTAACTATAAGAGAGTAAATGTGCAAAAAAATAACAGCACGAGTGTATGTGCATGATAAAAGTGTATATAAAAGTGTATTTGGGGGGAAACAGTGGTCAAATTTTAAACTTACAAAAATTTGTTTTGAAGCTTTTTTTAAGGGACACTTTAAAAAGATTTCATAGCACTAGTTGTTTAGGGAAGAACATCCCTTGACAAACCAAATAACAAAAGTCATTTCCTCATGCAGTATTTACTGAATGCATCAAGACATCAGCCAAGGCACCAGTAAAATCACATTTTCCTGATTTTATTATTAACTTTTGTGCATACCCTGGAATGCAGGTGTACAGTGATTTTTTTCTTTTTGATAATCTTGGGAATGCTCCATTAGGCAGTTATTAGACATCATTTCCAGGAAAAGGCATTTTTTAAGTCATGCGTTTTATTTGTCCTGAATTATTACTGCAGTGGGACAGATTGCTATTTTCTTCTTTGGCTGTCGACGTAGCTGAAAGATTTTCCATTTCCTTGTATGTGTCGTGTAAATACGTTACTTATTCCGGTAGACTTCTTTGCCGGTGCATAAAGGATTTACCTTAAAATGGGCCTGGTGTCATTGAGGACATGCTTGAATGAGCGCAGTTATGTAAATGATAATGATATAAATGAAAGTGCTGGGTATGACAGACTTCCAAAGTACCTATGTAGATAAACCGGTACTTTGGAAGGCTTTTGAAAGGCTCTCTGTGCCAAGAGCACATTTTAAACTGTGCTCCTGTCGCTATACCACAATTCAAAAGTTTCACACTAATATTTCTGTTAAGGACTGAGATTTTGACTTCAGTTGGAGGCTTGATTTAGGCTGAAAGTTCTAAATGGGCAGGGAAGAATCTAAATAGGGGAACTAGATGTTCTAAGTGCAGGTTGAAGGTTCTAAACAGGAGGTGAAGATTTTAAATGAGAAGCCAATGGTTCTACATGGGGGGGGGGTGAAGATTCTAAATGAGAGACTGAAGGTTCTAAATGGGGGATATATTTTACACAAGAAGTTGGAAGTTCTAAGTGGAGGTTCTAAATGGGGGTGAAGGTTCTAATTGAGAAGCTGAAGGTTCTAAATGATGGGAGAAATTTCTGAAAGTAAGTCTGATGATTCTAAGGAGACACTGAAAGTTCCAAGTGGGAAGTGAAGATATTAAATGAGAGGCTTAAGGATCTAAATAGGGGACAGATTTTACACAAGAGACTGTAAGTTCTAAGTGAAGGGTGGAAGTTCTAAATGGGGGTGAAGGTTCTAATTCAGAAGCTGAAGGTTCTAACGTTAGGCTGAAAATTCTGAACCAGAGGTGAAGATTCTAAATGAGAGGCTGATGGTTCTAAATGGTTGGTGTAGATTCTGAAAGAGGGGTGCTAAGTGGAAGCTAAAGTTCTAAATGGGAGGGGGCTGAACATGAATAGCTTTAATTCCCATTTTCTTACTGGCAGAGCCGAAAGTTTTTCTAAAGCCTTAGGTTGTGAAGGGCTGAAAGTCCCAACTGTAATTCCATTGAACAACGTTCCATGACTTTGTTCTGTAAAATATTAAACAGTAAAAATGGCACAGTCATCTTCCTGCTGCTTCTAGTACCAAAAGTAAGTCTCTCCACTCGATCCATGAAAGCCATCAGTTATTTTCCTTCACCACAGACACGCACCACAGACTGTCCAGGTGATGAATCTATTAGAAACGACAGCTGCTTAAAGAAGCAGATCGAACACCTCGCTATGAAAGTAATTTACGGTGATTAGCTCGGACGTGCCTTTGAGTTAGAGACTCTGGGATGCCAGACAGCATGCAGAAATCAATGCTCAAAACGAGTCTGATTAAAAGGACCTGCTGCATCCTGAAACTCAGTTTTACGTAACCCTTCAGAATGGATATAAGTGAGTGCTTGAACGTGGGGGGATGATTGTGGGTGGGGGTGGCATGCTTGAGCACCCCCAAAATGTTGTTTGCCTCTCCCTACACTTCATTAGCCATCTCTGGGATCTCGGGAGTTGTCATGTAGCAACAACGCTAATGATGTCTAAGTGGGCAGGAGTTGTGAGCCGAATCCACAGCCAAATCACTTCGCCTCCTCTCAGATCCGTGCTCGGATTCCCCCAGCTGCCGACAGACTGTCTCGCAGTGCAGAGACGGCCGTCTTTATTCAGTCAAATCAAAGGCGAGGCAACTCAGGTAGCAAAGATTCAAGAGATCACCCCGGTACTGTCGGATAGTGGTGCCGCCTTGGTCTATTGACTTTGTTGACTCAAAATCAATAGACCCAACCTGGTGCATTGACTTTGAAAGTGGGAAACAAAAGGCTGGAATGCAGCCAGAGTTCTTGTCGTTCACCAACAGCACCCACAGCACCTGTTGTGAATGTTTCACACGCAAATATAAAATACACCCCTAGCCCATCTAAGCCCTCGTGACCTTGGAAGGCATGACCGAGTCCCCAGAATCAGTGGTGCTGACAATACTTCATGCCTCCTTGGAAAGCGTAAAATTCTATTTCCAATTGAAATCCCACAATGCAACAGTGTAGACACAACAAATGAAAGCCTGACTTTTGGGAATGGATCTTATTTCATGTGGGGTTTGTGGGGTTTGTGGGGTTTGTGGGGTGGGGGGGCACAGTCCCTCAGGCAGGTGTCCATTAAAGGAACTGAAGGAGAGATGATGGATATCTGAGGTTTGAATCTGGGAAGTTTCAGTCCCCCTAGATCAGTCCCTCCTGTCTCTGAAGGGAAGGAGCAGAATGTACTCAATGTTAATGAAGACACAGCTTCCCATGGCTTCTAAAAATCAGCAGCACATAATGGAAGGATGATCCGTGGGCTTCAATTCCTGCTCTGACCCACGACAGGTACCACGCGATGGCAGCCTGCCATGCCATCCAGGCCACTGCCAAGATGCTATCTGGGCAGGCAGATCGATGCCCAGCACGCCGGGGTTCCCTCAAGCGTGCGGGTATTTGAATCGGGCTTTGGAATTTACCTTTCTGGAATGTTCCGGTTGAGGGGATGAGTGGAGCGGGCACATTCATCCTGGGACAGGGGGGGTCAGGTGACCCCAGTTCAGCTTTATCCTGCCTGCCTCTACTTTTCACCAGTTTATATGGCAGTGTTTCTGTTTCTCTAAACCCCAAGGGGGCTTTTGCGGACGCCCTCATCACTCCTGCTGTGGGCTGCTTTTGTTTCGGGGAAATTCACCCCCTCCTTTGCACACTTTCTACCCTGAAAAGATAAAGATAAAATCCACCCCCCCCACCCCCGCTCCCGCTGGTTTCTCCCAAACTCCCCATGCTGCTGGTACCATCAGTGAAGTCAGATCTCCTGTTATCATCTACCGACATACCAAAGCCGCTCTAGCATGTCAGCTGGGAGGTGAAGAATGTCGATTAAGTGTATTTTTGGCAGGGGTGTAGCTAGGGCTGCTTAGGGGGGGCTTTAACTCCCCCCCCGAAA